TTGTAGGGTACTACCTCAATTTGCTGTTGGTTTTAAATGTATCTGTGTCCATCCTTTCCCAGACTAGACTGGTTGGTTCTTGTCAACTTGACACAAACCTTGATATATCTGGGAAGAGGGGACCTTTTTTCTTTTTTTAAGATTTATTTAATGTGCATCGGTGTTTTGCCTGTATGTATGTATGTCTGACCGAGTAGGATCCCCTGGAACTGGAGTTACAGACAGTTGTGAGCTGGCATGTGGGTGCTGGGAATTGAATCAGGATCCTTTGGAAGAACAGCCAGGGCTCTTAACCACTGAGCCATATCTCTGGCCCTGGAAGAGAGAATCTTAATTGATAAAATACCTCTGTAAGATTGGTCCATAGGCAAGTAAATAGGGCATTTTTTGAGTAATGATTGATGTGGAAGGTTGCTTTTGGCCATGGTGTTTTATCACAGCAATAAGAAGCTAACTAAGGCCGGGCGGTGATGGCTCATGCCTTTAATCCCAGCACTTGGTAGGCAGAGCCAGGTAGATATCTGTGAGTTTGAGGCCAGCCTGGTCTACAGAGCGAGATCCAGAACAGGCACCAAAACTACATGGAGAAACCCTATCTCGATAAAGAAGCTAAGATAATACCTGTTTACCTCTCTAGTTGACAGTGTGAACTTAGGAGAGTGGAGGGGGGCTAAAAATGAGGCGAACTAAAGTCTCATGCAATATCCAACTTTCTTCAGATCATCAGACCATTTATACCTAGAAGGTTAAGAAGAGTCACCTGAATAAAGTGTACTATCACAAGGACAAGGTTCATGTGGCAAAAATACTTTTTTCTACAGAGGCTGTGGTAGTTTGAATGTAATTGTCCCCATAATCTCATAGGGAGTGACACTATTAGGAGGTATGGCTTTGTTGGAGTGTGTATGGCCTTGTTGGAGGAAGTATGTCACTGTGGAGGTGGGCTTTGAGGTGTTCTATGCTCAGGACAGACACCTCCCAGTGTCTGAGTCGACTCCCTGTTGCCTGCAAGATGTAGGACTCTTCTCCTCCAGTACCACGTCTGCCTACATGCTGCCATGCTCCCCACCATGATGATAATGGACTGAATCTCTGAACTGTAAGCTGCCACCTCAATTAAATGTTTTTCTTTATAAGAGTTTCCATGGACATGTGTCTCTTCACAGCAATAAAAACCCTAACTGAGACCAAGACATATGAATAACAAACAACTGAAGTAAACTCACTCCTATCCACTACACCTGGGAGAAGCATGAAAGCACATTCCAAGAACAATTCTATGTTTTTCTAAGAGTTTTCTCCAAGCACTCAGAATTCTTCTCACACAGCTCCATCCTGGACTGTGTTCCAACAAGTAGCCATGCATTTTTTCCCCTCTGTTTTAAATCTTCCCATGATTATTTTGTAATTAGCTTAAAGTGTAAGTGCACCAAAAGTTTGCTGGAAGGCAAGGATGACTCAGGAACTGAGAAGCAGTGCGTCTTCCGTCCCTCCATCTTCCGTCCCACTGTCCATCCCACCATCCCTCTGGGTACTCACATCTTTGTCCATGAGATGAATATTTTAAAGAAGGTACCATCCGCTGGGCTCAGTACCCCAGGAGCAGAGAAAAGAGTAAGAGACTGGTCCCTACTACTGGGCTAAAGCAGAGGATGGGTGTTCTCTGTGTATAATCACACAATAGGCTAACCACGTGCTTTCAGTGAGGTATACTAGATGCTGTGGATACAAAAGAATTTAAAGCCAACTGGGCTACATGAGTTTGAGGCTAGCCTGGGATGCAGGGTGAGACCCTTTCTCAAAAAGCAAACAGATTGGTTGGAGAGATGGCTTAGTGGTTAAGAGCACTGGTTGCTCTTGCAGAGGACCTGGGTTTGATTCCCAGCACCCACCTCATGGCTTACAATCACCTGTGACTCAGTTCCAGGGAATCCGTTGCCCTCTTCTAATCTCCCTGGGCACCAGGCATGCGTGTGTTACATATACATACATGTAGCCAAAGCCTTCGCACACAAAAACAAAATAAATAAATTTTAAAAAAGTTTTAAACTGCTGTGCGGCAGTGGCACACGCCTTTAATCCCAGCACTTGGGAGGCAGAGCCAGGTGGATCTTTGTGAGTTCGAGGCTGCCTGGTCTACAGAGCGAGATTCAGGAAAGGCACCAAAACTATACAGAGAAACACTGTCTCAAAAAAACAAAAACAAGATCAAAAAAAAGTTTTAAACCAAACAGACAAAAATTTATTAAGATATGTTTTTGAGCTTGATCACTTTTGTGCACACATAGAGGAATCTTCTATTTTGACACAGTAGCATGTTCATTTGGCTCTGTGACATCAACTAATACACTCATTTGCTGAGTGAGACCTCACAAAACACGATACTCAGCATTTCTATTTGAATGTTAACTGTACTGGATTTTTTTCCATCTTTGTAAATGGGCCGCATCTCTCACCATCGTTTGCGGATACCCCTGTGCGCACGCGCGCGCGCGCGCGCACACACACACACACACACACACACACACACACACACACACACACACACACTCATACACTCATCAAAAGGTTTTAGAACAGGAAAGTGGGCTGCATCTCAGGCAGAGCGTGTATTTAGCATTTGAACCTTGAGATTGTGGTGCAGTATGGGATTGACATACACAAAAGTCAGGAATCTTTTGTTTCTGGCCCTCATCTCTCTCAGTCTCTTGGCAGCCTGGTCTGCCCTCTTGAATCTACTAGAAAACAAACTCCTTGTAACTGCCCACCCACAACTGTTGGACAGGGACCTTTGTGGGACTTACTGGGATCACTATTCACCTAAATCAGATGACCTTGAACATAATGTAAAGGATTCTATGGGATTAACCTGCAAGTCTGACAGGTCTGTAGCTTGTCGGGCCCATTTAGATTGCTGGATTTCTGATTCCCTGAGTAGAGACTCCCCCACCTATCCCCTCCATATTAGTGAACTTGCACTCCAGAACTAGGATGTTAGAAGGCATGAACAACATCTTGCTGTCCAGAGCATCATTAGATACTTAGATGGGATGGTGTCTGGAATTACTTGCTAAAATGCGTCAAAATAGAATTGGGCAGATTCTTACAAAACAAATTGAAATAGGAAAAAAAAAGAATTGAATGGTTCTTAAGAATAAACTATTGTGGTGAATATGGTGGTGCATGTCTTTAATCTCAGTATCCAGGGGGAAGAGGCAGACAGATCTCTGTGAGTTCAACACCAATCTACTATACATAGAGAGTTCAAGTCCAGCCAGTGCTTCATAGTGAGACTTTGCCAGAAAAGGTGTGTGTGTGAGGACAAGGCTGGAGCAATGGATGGCTCGCAGTCAGAACCCTGGCTGCTTCTCTGGAGGACCCACCATGCCTGCCTGCCTGCCACCATGTCCCCCACTGTGGCGTCGTGGACTCTGACCCTCTAGAATCATGAGCCCCAAATTAAATGCTTTCTTTTATAAGTTGCTTTGGTCATGTTGTTTTGTCATGGTAATAGAAAAGTAACTAGGACACATCAGCCATTGATAGCTGCCTCTGCAGAGTGAAATGGGCCAGGAAGAACAGTGTCTTTTTTGTTTTTGTTTTTGTTTTTGTTTTTCGAGACAGGGTTTCTCTGTGTAGTTTTGGTGTCTTTCCTGGATCTTGCTTATAGATCAGGCTGGCCTCGAACTCACAGAGATTCACCTGCCTCTGCCTCCCGAGGGCTGGGATTAAAGGCGTGTGCCACCACCACCCAGCTCAGAAGAGCAGTGTCTTAGTTAGGGATTCTATTGCTGTGAAGAGCACCATGACCATAAAGAAAAACATCTAGTTGCAACTGGCTTACAGTTTCAGAGGTTTAGTCTATTATTGTCATGATGTGAAGCATGGTGACATGTAGGTAGACATGGTGCTGGAGAAGGAACTGAGAGTTCTACTGTAGTCAGACTTTCTTTTGGGCCACCAGCTCACAAAAACGACATGGAGACTTGTAATTATGAAAGCTCAGCCTTAGTTTATGCTTGTTCCTAACTAGTTCTTATAACTTAAATGAACCCATATCTATTCATCTACGCGTTGCCACGTGGCTGGTGGCTCTTACCTCTCCTCCTGCATGCCTTGCTCTCTCTCTCCATCCAGCTAGTGACTCCTCATTTCTTTTTCCCAGAACTCTCTGTCCCCAGAAGTCCCACCTAACCTCTTCCTGCCTAGCTAATGGCTACTCAGCTCTTTATTAAGCCAGTCACAGTGACACATCTTCACACAGTGTAAGGGGATATTCCACAACATTCTACACCTGGATTGGAGGACAGCAGGAAGTGAAAATGAATCACTGGCCTAGCATGAGCTTCTGAAACCTCAAAACCTGATCTCAGTGACACACCTCCAAAAAGGCCACACCTACTTAAACAAGGCCACATCTCCTAATAGTACCACTCCTTATGGGCCTGTGGGGGCCATTTTTACCCAAACTACCACAAACAGGTAGATAACACTTAGATTTTAACAGAAATGATCTATTCCTACCCAACTTGTAAGATTTAAACTTTAAAAGAGTCTAAGCATGTATGTACTATGTTAAGGACCCTTTACAAAGATAGCCTTCAGTACTCTCTCTAGGCCCTCTGTGCTGGACCTGATGGGCAGCTGACGCTGTGTGACTCTTATATTTTCATGCAGTCACTTGATTCCATCTTCCCATTAACACCTTGAGGCAAGTTTCTCTTGCTGTCATGTTATAGGTTGGCATACTGGACACCCAGAGCAAGCAGGTGACTTTTGTGGCTCATAGGCCTTCCAGATCTGAGGCCAGTGCTCTTTCCACTTCTCCTCTGGAAAGTGGACCTGAGCTTAACCTTGGCTGCTGCTGTGACTTAGTATTACTACTGTATCCAAGGAGCCTGCTTTCAGGTGTGTCTGTAGAGATGATTTCTGCATACCTTGTGTCCTTGCTACTCTACCTCCTCCCCCGCTCCTTTTATTTTCCTGTGATCTTTCCTCAGGGAGCCTTTCCATAAACTGCTAGCCCAAGGCCTCATCAAGGGACAGACATTCCGCCTTCCATCTGGACTGTGTCTGCAGAGGGAGGATATAGACTTCACAGGTAAGGTGGGCCCAGCCTGGCTGGAGCTGGTAAGAACCAAGGCCAGGTCCAGGAGCTCTTAAGAAGCTAGCATCTGCTATTGGGTCCTGGCTGGGGGCAGAGACCAAGACAGATCCTGGTCATGCCTCTGCAGGCTGCTCCTGGGACTGATTGTCCCCTCCTACCCAGCCCCATCCTGTGTAACATAATGTTTGTCTGGGCATCCCCCCTTGTCCAGCCTTGTTTGACAGTCTGTTGCTGGACAGAGCTTCAGACTCAGAACATGGAGTCTTCCAGGACCTTTTCCCACAAGGCCTCGAAGTACAGCTCAAAATATGGGACCTCCACCCTGCCCACTTCCTTGGCCCCTAAGAGAAGCTCTGCTTCCCTGACCTCCTTGTTCAGGACCCATTCAGAAACATGCATTGTTCCTAAGTATTCTTTTGGCATCTAGGTCCTGCTCCTGTTTGTGCAAAAACAAAAGAGAAGTTAGAGGTGACATGGGAGAAGATGAGCAAGTCCAAACACAATGGGGTGGACCCTGAAGAGATTGTGGCACAGTATGGGATTGACACAATCCGGCTCTACATCCTCTTTGCAGCCCCTCCTGAGAAGGACATCTTGTGGGATGTAAAGAGTGAGTCTTCTTCCTTCTGCTTGCTTCCTCTGCAGTCTGCCCTGAATTCTGAAAGAACTGGGGAAGGAATTGTCTTACTGGAAATATTAATGGAGAATTCTAGAAGTCATCTTGTCCAGCCTGGGTCCCTTTGGTGGGGAAGGGAAGAGAGGCTCCCACTATATATGCACATTCCCAGTCCTCACCCTATACTTACTGGCAATAGGGCCCATTGCACGCTCTGTGCTGATTATAAAGTGAGGGCTCTGGACAACTGTTACCTTGAAGACTGAGCACCTGTGTTACCCTAGGCCTGCTGAGCTGCAAAGAGGCAAGTCTTCTTTCCACGTTCCCTGAAAGTTTTTTCTAGAACAGAGTCCTCCTCCCTCACCAAGATGATGCCTGAATCCTGGGATCACATGCAAACCATTAGCCACTCCCTGCTAGCCTCACTTCCCCTCAGGAGATTGATTGTCTTTCTAGAGCTTTCATTTTGCCCTTGAGATCTGCATGGAAGTGGATGTGGGAAGTGAAAGCCAGTGCCTGTAGAAGGAGTCTGTTTTATCTCAGGATTGGCTGGTTTTCTCACTACGTCTTATGGCAGTGGGTCTGGACAGTGGTGACAGATATCAGTCCTAACAAACTGCCTTGAAGAAACAAAGGCAGGACATGCAGAACAGTTTGGGCACTAGCTCAGCTTTCTCCTTTCTACATGAGCAAGTCCCCATATCTGCTTCTCACAAGCCTCCAGCTGTCCCTGCTGTGTCCTCACTCTTGAGAATACCCAACCCAGTGGCCACAGGTTCAGGCAGATAAGTGACCCACACTTATTTGGTCAGCTGTATGACCCAGGATCACCAGGTGGGCTGTTCTGCTTCCCCAGGTCTAACCACTAGACTTGGTGAACATGTTTGGAATACATAACACACATATCTGGCAGGGTTGTTAGCTGACCTTGCACTGTGCCCTAAGGCTGTTCCCAAGCATGCAGCCATTGCCACTGTTACTTGTGCTCGTGAGATCCCAGCTTCACGAATATGTCTTCAGTACTTTGTTGACCCCAAGGCATGTCTGTCAGAGTAAGCTTGCTGACCCAGAAGGTAGTATGCTCATCCCAGGGCAGGTGGCAACTGCTAAGCAGCTCTGCTGCCCATGCTCAGAATATCAGGGATACCAAAAGGGGTTAGGGAGGACTCTGGAAAGACCATGGGGCTTTTCTCATTCCTTCTTATCCGTGCTCTTTCTTTGTCCTTGATTGCCACAAATTGCAGCTGATGCACTTCCTGGAGTGCTGAGATGGCAACAGCGGCTGTGGTCCCTGACAACACGATTCATCGAGGCAAGGACTTCCGGGTCAGTCCCCCAACCTCAGTTATTGAACAACAAGGAGAAAACCAAAGCCCAAAGCCTCTGGGAGTACAAAAACTCAGTCATAACTCAGGTCAGAAGCCACAGTCCGGGGGTAGTTGTGTCCCTCACTCTGAGGGAACCTTTGCCCAATGGTCTATTCAGCCTTCATGTCCTGAGGGCCACAGTGGATCTTCTTTCTTTGTGAGGTGGCCCTGATGCCTTGATTAATTGCTGTCATTATTTTGGCTGTTTACTGAGACTTCCTGATGGAAAGAGATGCTCTCAAAAAATGGCTGCCCTCCCTCCTTGTCACCTTCTTCCACCTAGACCTCAGGAAGCCACCTATTTCCTGTGTCTCTGGACTTGACCTGCAGGAGGAACCAATCTCTGATGAGACATTGCACATTGTGTTAACAGGGGTGCAGAGCTGAAAGAAACTTTCTCATTTTGTACATGAGTTTAAGACCCAGACAGGTCAGATGTCTTGCTTAAAAGCCTAAAGCTAATGAGGAACTGAGCACAGATTGGGATCCAAGCTCCCTTGTACTTATTAGGAGTTCTTCCACTTGGTTAGTTTGGTACACAGTGTCCAAAGCACTTATTTTAGGTTGATTTCCCCAAATACGAGATTTTGTTTTGTTTTGTTTTGTTTTTTTTGGTTTTTCGAGACAAGGTTTCTCCATATATTTTGTGGTGCCTGTCCTGGATCTTGCTCTGTAGACCAGGCTGGCCCCGAACTCACAGCCTGGCTCTGCCTCTTGAGTGCTGGTATTAAAGGCGTGTGCCACCACTGCCCGGCCGAGGTTATTTTTAATGAGTATCTGATAACCCTAATTCTTCTTAGGCTAATTTTGTTTTCACTTGCTAATTCAGTGGTTGGTGTAGGTTGGTGGTAGACTGTGCCAGGGCCTGGGTTCCATTCCCTGAACTAAAAAGGGAAAGGTGCTAATTCAAGCCTGTGAAGTCATCCAAGGCCACTTATTGCCAGGACTGTAGCTCAGATGACATTAATGGCAGGGCAGGATTTTTGTTTGTTTGTTTTCATGACCTGAGTGAGTAGCTCTGGTTCTAGCATGCTCATCTAATGGCATTTCTTCCACTTTATTTCTATTCTCTGTGTAGACGGAGTCACCGAGGTAATCTGGGAATCTGAGTGCTGCTAAGTGTTGCTCTCATACTGTGCATTTTCTTTCTGGAGCATAGGTCAGATAATTGATGAATTGTTTCAACAGCTATAAACTCTTGATATCTTACAGGTGTGTCATCTCCAGGCCTTGCTCTTGCTAGATGAGTGACTTACACTGATCTGCATCACCTGCCTCTCATGTCTTTATCCACTGTTGTCCTTATGCTGCTCATCAGCAGCTCCTGCCTCCTGTTCAAGCAGCTAACATTGTCTTCTTAATTGTAGGAAGCAACATTGTCTCAGATGTGGAAAGAAAGTCATAAGTAGTAGAAACAGCATTGACTTTGAATTTAAAAGTCTTTGAGCTCATGAAATCTAATCATTATTCAAGATAGTAAATATATTTATAAGTATCTTTTATTATATTCGGTTAGCTTCTTGTTTTTTTAATTATTTACTTTTATTCTGAAAAGCTAAGAAGAATTTATGAAGAAAGTGAGTAAAAAAAAAAAATCAATTTTTTACCAACAGGTAACCACCCATTTCACAGAGGACTTTGCTCTGAATTCTGCAGTTTCTCAGCTGATGGGACTCAGCAGTGCCCTCTTGGTAAGTAGCTGGGCCTCAGTAGCTGAGGAGGGAGGGTGAAAATGTTGGGAACATTTCTTCCATAGACACAATTCTAGCATACTACTTCAGGGTTTTTTGTTTTTAAAATATTTATTTATTTATTATGTATACAGTGTTCTGTTGGCATGCATGCCTGCAAACCAGAAGAGGGCATTAGATCTCATTATAGATGGTTGAAAGCTAGCATGTGGTCACTGGGACTTGAACTCAGGACCTCTAGAAGAACAGCCTGTGCTCTTAATCTCTGAGCCATCTCTCCAACCCCAAGGTTTTAAAGGTTATCTGAGCAAAGCCGTTTACTTTTTCTGAGACAGGGTCTTACTATGTAGCCAAGGCTGGCTTTGACTTATGATGGTCTTCCTGCTTCTGCCTCCCAGCTTAAAGCCTTTTTATTTCCAGTCTTTTGTAAGAGGACATGGAGGCCCAAGAGGTTAGATGCCATGTCTGAATGAGTAGTTGCAAAGCCAGGGCCAGGCTTAGGCCTCTCTCTGTTCTAACCTTCATCCACTACTGCCTGATTTCCTGAATGTATTGGGCTGTTTCCTTGGCATTATGGCATTGTTAATGTTTGTATTTGCTTAACCTAGATAGAGCAAAGTTGTTACTCCCATTGACAAAAAGAGTCATCAATTTCAGTGCCGCTCATCTTTTTGCTACATGTGACTCCAGTTTTTCTTGACAAGGGAAGAATTTGTCAATAATTGGTGGATAGAGAGGAGCCACACCCTAGAATTCCACAGTGGAAAATCTTAAGAGGCAGTTCTCTGCATTTTTCCCTGGGCCACAACACACAGGAAACCTTGCAGAGTGCTTACAAGTTTTGACTTTGTTCCCAGAGCAGATTTTCCTCTCTTGATGAGGTTTAGCCTCTTCCTCTGTCAGATGAGGTACAAATCCTGCTCTTGAAGGGCAGTTGTGAGCACTGAGTATGTGGTCTGTGAGGGATCCTTTGGCCTAAGCAAGGAGGTAATGAAGACTGTCTCTCCCACCTGCTGAGCCGCTGGATTCTATTTCATTCATGGCCTGTCTTACTCCTTCTTATTTTGTACCTCTGTCTTAAATGTTCCTTCCTCTCCCTTAGCAAGCCTCTCAGAGAGTGGTTCTCCACAGCCCTGAGTTTGAGGATGCTCTGTGTGCCCTGCTGGTGATGGCTGCGCCCATGGCTCCTCACATAACCTCAGAACTCTGGGCAGGTATGTAAAAGGGTCCTTGTCTAACTAGTTACTATGGAGTAGCATTTGCCCAAGCCTTTTTATAGCTCAGCAGATGTCTTGGTCAGAGTGCTGTTCATCTCTTGAGGGTTCAGCTGCTGTCAGTGTGTGTGTGTGTGTGTGTGTGTGTGCGCGCGCGCACGTGCACGTGCACGCTTTGTTGTGGGTGTGGGCATGTATATGCTGTGTGGAGGTCAGAGGACAACCTTGGGTGTCAATCCTCATCTTTCTACCTTGTTTTGAGACGGGGTATTAACCACTGTGTAAGTCATGTTAGCTGGCCTAAGAGCCACTAGAGATGCTCCTGTCTCTGCTTTCTGTCTCCCCGTAGCAGCTCTCTTAGACTACAGATGCTTGGGCTCTTGTGTCCAACTTTTACATTGGTTCTGGGCATCCAAACTCAGATCAACAAGCTTGCTCAACAAGTGCTTTTATCTGCTCATCCCTGACCTGTCTTCGTTGTGAACTCATGAGTTAAGTTCAGATTTTATCTGTTTTGGTATCCAAGCCACTTCCACAAATATTCATTCAGACACCAAGTCTGCATCCCACCAGGCCCTCTGACAGTCTTTGTTTTGTTTTATTTTTTGTTTTTTATATTTTGTTTGTTGTTAGTTTCTGCTGTTAGAAATTGAGTCCAGCTTTGTGCATGCTAAGTACATGGTCTACCACTGAGCCACACCCAGCCTCTGATGCAGTGTGGGTGTTGTTCTTTTCAAAGCATGTGAGCAAATTCGTTTCTCTGGGAAAGGTCAACATGAAGTGGCCTTGCTTCCTGTGTGTTTTCTTTGAATTGCCAGGGCTGCTGTCAGCACAGACCCAGGCTCTCCTGGCATACTCAGTGGAATTAGCTAGCACAGACAAGGATGGGGAGATGAGGGCAGAGACAGGCCCAATAATGCCACCAGGAGAGGTCTGCCTTCACAGAAACCGTGACCACCACCCCCAACTTCCCAGCAATCACTGTGGGCCACCAAGGCAGCCTGGCAGCCTGTGCTCAGGGAGAGATGGGAGAGGTTTAGTTTTGTTTTCTGCAAGAAGGTCAGCTCTCCAAAGGTGGGGATGGAAGGGGTGCAGCTGGCCCTGCGTGCTAGCCCTGCGTGCCAGAGCTTTGGCACTTACCTCCTGCATTCAGACTTACCCTGTGGACCTGTCACCTTGGCTATGTTGTTGTATTTGCCATGCACATGTTGGGTATTTTCACTTAAAAGAGCCAAGTGGCAAAAACCTGTGCATATGCAGGGTCCTGAGCTCCACACCACCACCCTCACCACCCCACCCCCGCAGCCAAGCCACATCATCCAGGGAAAGCCTGTTGAGGCACTGTACCTATAAATAAGCATCCTGATTACACCAGGAAGTCTGGGCTTCCTTGTTTTTTCAGTGGAATGTATGACAGCTTCTGTCCAGAACATTTTCATCCAAGGCCCTTTCATCTCCTAGGCATCCTGTATGACTTCCATATAGAGGTTTTGGAAACCTTCCCACTATATCTGGGTCACAGGACAAGCCACCACCAGCTCAGCAAATAAAGACATGATTGTCTGTTTTCTGTGACCTCCATCTCACTTTTAGAGAAGGAAGAAGTTGAAATATTTTCTACATTTGCCAAAAGGCCATCAAGACCATTGAGAAGTACGACAGCTCAGACCAGGACCAGCTGGGCACCAGGGGGAGGTCATGTCCTGTACTTGGGCTGTAAGGAGGCTTCACTTCTCTGCCAGTAACTGGCAACAGGGTCACCAGAGTGTCAGGTAGGAAAACTTAAAGCTACAATGAATGAATATCCCAGAGAGACAAGCACAGCAGAGGCCAGTGGAGTAGAGTGCATCAGCACTACTCAGTGGCTTACCCACAACTCAGGCTTACTTAAAGACTTAGTTTCAGTTGGTGAGAAGAAGGGGAGCTTGTGGTGGGCATAAAGAAGAATAAGGCTGATCCTCTGTGTGTGTGCACACGCATGCACACGTGTTTGCAATGCTGGTGTCAGACTCAGGACAGTGTTCATGCTAACAAACATTTCTTCATTTCCTCACTGAGGTGCATCCCGGGCTTTTTTTTTTTTTTCAGTAAAGGAAGCAGTATGTGTTGATTCATATTCTGACCTTGGATTTCTACCTCCTTGTATACATATATTTTGAATATCTGAAGCTAATGGTACCAAACCAATCCCAGTATAATAATATTTTGAAGGAAATCAATAGGGAAGGATACTTTATGCAAACAACCTGGGTTTGGAAAGTATACTTTGTGATTTTGAAGATAGTTTCTTTATATTATAAACAAAATAGATTGCTACTAAATTTGAAAGTTAAATGGGGCGGGGGGATGAAACCTTTCAAAGAAACCAAAAGAAAATTCTTGAACTGATTTCACAGTATGGAAAAACTCTATACTTAAGTAATTTTCAAACTATGAAAGAGCTGTGAGTGTTGCTGGGTGGTAGAGTACTTGCTTAGCCCTAGTGTCCATCACCAGCACAGCTGAAATATATACATACATATGTATGTACAAAAGCAATGACTGCTTCTTGTGTAAAACCTATAAAACAGTGTTTTTAAAAGAGGGGACAGGGGCTGGAGAGATGGCTCAGCGGTTAAGAGCACTGACTGCTCTTCCAGAGGACCTGGGTTCAATTCCCAGAAACCACGTGAAAGCTCACAACTGTCTGTGACTCCAGTTCCAGAGGCTCAGAAACCCTCACAGATACACATGAAGGCAAAACCACCAATGCATATAACATAAAAATAAGTTATTTTAAAAAAAGAAAGAAAGGGGGGTCTTGAGGTACAAATTAGTAGTGGAGCATATACTTAGCATGCTTGAGGCAATGGGTTCCATTCCTAGCCCTGTCTCTGGAAGAAGACTGGAGAGGGTTTATACCTTACCACCTTCATGTGGCCTACCCTAAGCCAAGGGTCCATTCCTAAGAGAGAGCCTGTGAGGCTAGAATATGTAGTAGGGTGAGAGAGTTCCCAGGAGGGCTGAGAACATCCTTCTGTCCAGTGCACTTATGTGAAAAAGAACTGGGGACAAGATTTTGAGACCAAAGGCCAAGATACTCATGGCAGGAAAAGCTGTGAGGACAGCCTGTACTTGGGGGCCAGTTCTCAGGAAGGCATTCCTTCCCCAGGAAAGGGGTAACCCCAGAACACTGGCAGCCTTGCTTTTCCACTAATTTCAGAGCACCATGTCCATCCATCCGCACATCTCTGCTTGCTTTTTATAGAAAGGCTGCCTGAAACATGGGGTCACAGACCAGCTGTGGGAAAAGGTCAGCTCCTCCCCGTGCACCAGTACACCACTTGACCCTCAGGCCCTAAGCAACCTTCATTTCTACCCCACTGATCAGCCGTATAGTCATAAGAGTGTCAAATAGGAGAAGGTTTTAAAATTTACAAGAAATCTCTGATACTGGCACAAGAACCCAAGACAGAAGCCAACAAAACAGAAAGCATCAGCACTACTCAGAGTGGCCAGTCCACAATCTTGTGGAAAAACTAGTGTTATGGCATCACTAGCTTCCTCAAAAGGCTCTAAGCCAGGGCACCCTGTTCATGAACCCCCTGTGTGTTCAGAGTGGCCTGACCTGTGCCTTTGTGTTGTAGGCCTGGCGCTAGTACCAAGCAAGCTCTGTGACCGTTATGCCTGGGATACTGGTGTGCTGCTTCAGGCCTGGCCCACTGTGGACTCACAGTTCCTTCAGCCGCCGGATATGGTGCAGATGGCCGTTCTGGTGAGTGCCACCCATAGCCATAGTGCTAGACTGTGGTCTACAGACTATCCCTCTCCTACCAGTGACCCATCAACCCACCCCCCAAGCCAGCCCTTCTATTTGACCAAGCCCACAGCACAGAGGTCTGTGTTCCCTTCTCTGTTCCTTCACTAGATCCCAAAAGCATGCATGTAAGCTTCCACTCTCAGAGCCTGGAAGGACCATCAGCCTTACTGGTGCCAGCGTCTTCCAGCTGCAGTTAGGAGCACCTGGGTAGGGTTAAAGGGGCGGGGTGGGGGGACACATGGAAGGTAACAGACATCTGTCAGTAAAAAATACTTCTGTTTGGCTGGAGAAATGGCTCGGGAGCCTTGGATGCTCTTCCAGAGGACCTGAGTTTGATTCCTAGCACCCACGTAGTAGCTCACAACCATCTGTAACTAGAGTTCCAGGGGCTCTGCTGCTGTCTTCTAGCCTCCACTGGTTCCAGGCATGCATGTAGTGCACAGATATACATGCAGGCAAACCACCCACTTACATAAAATAAAATTTAAAAAAATTTAATACCTCTGTCAAACATATTTCAGTAAAGCACATAAAACTCTTTTTCCCCTTTTATTTATTTTGGAGGGGTGGTAAATTGGACCATTTTCAATATATAAGAGTAATGTAGGAGCAGAAGTTCAAGGTTCAAGTTTTTTTTTTTTTAAATTTTTTAAGGTTCTGGGCTTGAACCTAGAGCCCAAGGCATTCTAGGCAAGTGGTGTCTTGCTAAGCTGCATCCCAGCCCTCTTTTTACTTTTTACTTTAAGACAGGGTCTCAGAAAGTTGCCCAAACTGACCTTGAGCTTGATCTGTAACTCAGGCTGGCCTTGAACTTTGACCCTATTGCCTCAGCCTCCAAGGTATCCAGAATTACAGGCCTGTGCCACCAGGCCCAGCAAGAGTAGTTTGTTTTGTTTTTCCCTTGAACCTTTTATGCAAAAACTAGACCCCTGTAGGTTCCCCACTATGCAGATTCGATTTGTTTAATATGAGACACATTTCTAGAGACATCTGTTAATGGCTTAAGTGGCAAAAGGTAAAGAGACCAGGATAGGCTTTTTACCTGATCCTCTGGGTGGCAGATGGAGTGGAACTAGGTCATTTACATCCAAATGTGATTTTACTTGCTTATCAGAGGATACACCATTCTTAGTTAAGAACACAGGCTCAAAGAAGTGACTTACCTCATTCAGGTCTGTCCTGACTCTAGGCCAGGCACGGGCTAGGTTATAGGGATGCAAAATCAAACAAAAGCCAGGCACAGTGGTTTACTCTGATCTCAGCACTTGAGAATCTGAGGCAGGAGGACCACTGTAAATTTGATACTAGCCAGGAATTTATGATAAGACTTTGTCTTGACAAAAACAAAAAATTCAGTGGGACAACAGGGTCCCTATCCTCATAGAGCTTAAAGCCCAGAGAGATAGAAAAGCATAAAAGAAGGAAAAGAATAAGCAAAAGGAACATGTATTGTGGAAAGTGCCAGCATCACATCCACCCTGGAGCTGAGAAGCAGCACATCCTCTGAAGCCTGGGGTAGAGGAAGGCCTTCTTGATGCTTCTTGAGGCCCCACTGTACTTGCACCAAACCTGAACTACAGGAAGCCCATGTTTAGAAAGAATACTTAGCTCAGGAGTTGGAGCACCCTCACAGCCTGCCTCCCTGTGGACCCTCCTCACTCTCTCTACTCTTTTCCCTCTCAGATCAACAACAAGGCCTATGGCAAGATCTCTGTGCCCCAGCAAGTTGCTCTGGACCAGGACAAAGTATATGAACTTGTTCTCAAGAGTGAGCTGGGCATCAGGCTACTACAGGGGAGAAGCATCAAGAAGGCCTTCCTCTCCCCCAGGACTGCCCTCATCAATTTCCTGGTGCAGGAGTGACCAGGGCTGCAAGGACCCTCCTTTTCTGCCCAGATCAAGGAAAGGAATGTTAGCTTAAGAAAAGAGAAAAGATAAACATCAGGGGCATTGGCCTCTGTGCCAGGACAGACTGGAGTCAGCAGGGGCCTGTGTCCTGAGGCCTGAACTTGGATGAGAATGGATGTGAACAAAGAGGAACAAGGGGAGAAAATTCATTTCGTTATCCCATGACCCTCCACTCCCACTCAGGGTGTGAAGCTACCAGAGATGCTGCTGGGAGGGGGCAAGGAGAAAAGCAAGGCTGGCAGGCAGCCGGGAGCTTTTGCACCTACCTCAGGTACTGTCAAGTACCTCTCAAGAAGTCATGTAGACTAGATGAGCCATTTAAGAGCCTCACAAAGGTCAGGTGTACAGATGGTGCTGGCTGGGCTTTTGACTGACAGGATAGTAAAACCCCTTCAATATATGCTCAGTGTCTCACTTGTAGAACTGGACATGGACACTGGCACCTCTGCAAATTGTTCTGCGTATGTCTCCAGCACCTTTCAACTGTGTCACACAGGTCTCTTCCGCTCCAGCTGGATGGCCTGTTCTGAGATTGATGTACGTGCTCTGGGATAGGACTCCACTTCAGAGCCTGAACAAAAGGACTGTGTCATTGCCTTTGTTTCAGTGTGTAGAGTGTGCTCTGTGGTGAGTGAAACTGTTCTGAACCCCACCAGAGCCCCATCACAGACCAGCAGGGGTTTGAACCCCAGATGGCTCACATGGGCCTCAGATAATGATACCACTTGTCAGCAGTTTGGCCCCAAGAGTGTCACCAGCAAAAGCAAAGTTCCTCAGAGAGGAGTAGAATTGTTGCTTCCTGGGTGTTAACCTAATGTGTCCAAGCTGCTATGATTTAGCTGGAGACAGCCAGGAGTGGAGCCAGCTCACCAGTAAATTAGACAAAGCTGATTTTATGAGAGTCATTAATAAAGTGCTCTTACAGACATGGCCTGAGCAACGGCTTAATACTTAGTTGTGGGGAGGAGAGAAGAACCTAGCCATGTTAGGATGCTGAAGCTCTGTATCTGTAATCTGATGTCACCCAGAGGTGGCTGTCATTGTTTCCTACCAGTCAGATGCCTTTTAGTGTCATAAACGTATATTACTTTGAGACATATCTGTGATCTTGGAACAGCCCTATATTCCAGTTCTAAGAGTTAATTGGGAGCAGACCAATGTCCTTCACCATCACAGGCTCTGGCTCTGTGCCACTTCCCTGGAATACCTATGGTCTGTCACCTTGAACCCACACTCCATACAGATGTTCTCATCCGGGCCCATGAGCAATAGAGGCTCATGCACAGGGTCTTGAGCTTGATACTGTGCCTGGTCTCCACACCTAGAAATTATAGTTTAATTGTAGCCATCATAAAGGATTTTAAAATGTTTATAAGTGAGGCTGCTGAGGGTATAGTTCAGTGGCAGAGTGTGAGCCTAACATGGCAATGTCCTATGTTTCATCCCCAACACAAAAAAGCAAAGCAACTCTATCAAAGAAACTATGTGGTAGCACACTTGTAATCCCAGCATATGAGAGACATGAGGATCATGGGTTTAAAGCTATCCTTGGCTTCATTAGACTCTGTCTCAAAGAAAAACTACCAGTGATCCTAATAGACAGCAAAGTCTGCAAACACTGGATTAATGAATGTTTCTGAACCATTAATTTCTGCCCAGTCCTTTCTCCTTCATTTTCAACTTACCTGGGATGAGTTTGGCCCAGTACCATGAGGAAGTAGAGTTGGGAGAGATTGGGGCCAGAAGGGAAGGCAGACTTCTGGAGAGGTGTTTTAAGAGAATCCCCAAGCTGATACAGGTGATGGTCCCATGACAAACAGGAGCACGTGAAGGTAGGGTGAGGGCTTGTGGCTGTTTTGTGTTCTCCAGGAATGAGATCGGTGACCTTGATGAACTAAGGGTAAGATGTCCTTTGTTGGGCGTTATCTGCCCCAAGCAGTCGACTAGTAAATTCTGTAGGCTGCTGGGCTGACACACTGGGCGTTGGAAAACATTCTCTCCAAGAAGATGAAACTTGGAAACATGAGCTCATTGGTACTTCCTAGGAGACAGTAGATATGATGGAACAATTGGACAGAAAATTGCTCCCTGTGTGTGAGTGCATGGGGTGGGGTGTGATCTTAGTCAGAAACTAATTATCTCAGTTTCCACAAAACCCTGGAGGGTAGGAATTATTCTTCACAAATATGAAACAAAACAAAGCAAAAAAAAAAAAAAAAAACAACCCACAACAGGCTCAGAGGCTCAGTAATTTGCCTAGTTTTCAAAGCCAATATGTAGAAGTGGCAGGGTGTAAACTCACATCTGGCTTCTCTTAATGCTGTCCTACTGTGTCACCGGGCCTTCACCTAAATGCCCATCTCGATTGAAGTGTGGCATGATGAAGTGTCAGCCTTCTCAAAAGTCCGGGAAGTTACAGCAGTGGTGCCTGCTCCACTGGAGCAGACGGTTGGTTGGTGAGAGGCCAAGAGCCTGGCCTAGGTCCTGTAGGGCTAGGATAAAGGTTGCTAACTCCTGGGAGATTAAGGCTTCAAGTGGATGAAGGTTATTTCTTTTGGAGAAGTGGATGAAGAGAATTTGTGAGCAAGAAGAATTGTGCCCTACATGGATCCTGCCAGAGTGCGCATCTGCCAAAGAAAATGAAATTGGCTCCCAAGACCAAAACACTAACTGAGGTGGTACACTGCCCATGAAGTCCTCACCCAGCCAGAATACACTCCTTCAGAGAACAGGTCAGTACTAGTATGAGCATCTAGTCAGTGGAAGAGAAGGCAGCCAAATAAAGACAGCTTTTTAAATCGCGACATGGAAATTTTCTCATAACTAAAAGCAAGACACCCTAAACAATGTGATCCTAACCATTTGTTTTGTCAGGCTCACTCTACAGCCCAAGCTGTTTTGGAACTGACAGATCTTCCTTCTTGCCTCATCCTCCTGAGTACTGGGATTCCAGACATGCATCACCATAATTTTAAATTTTTATTTATGTGTATGTGTGTGTGCCAACTTGTCTGTTTGTATGCCATATGCCTGCAGGTAGCTGCAGAATCCAGAAGAGGAGGTTGGATCCCCTGGAACTAGAGTTACAGGAGGTTGTGAGCTACCCTGTGTGGGTGCTGGGAACTGAACCTGAGTCCACTGTAAGAGCAGCAAGTTCTTTTAAATACTGAGCCATCTCTCCAGCCCCACAAATCATTTGATGAAGGCCTTTTCTTCTGTTTATGATTTTGTATTTCCTTATTTTTTTGGTCATCAAGTATTTAAAAAATAGATATCAGTATGTGTAATATCAGCCCAGTGTGGTGGTGTATACCTATAATCCCAGCATTGGGGAGCTTAGGCAGGAAGATGGTGTGTCTGAAGCCTCCTGGGATACTAAGTGAATGAAGAAAAACAACAGTATGATGTTGTGAAAATACACACAAATCAGGAGCCTGGCCCCTTGTATTACTTTTTCTTCTAAGTCAGGGTATCCAGCTCTCTGGGAATATGGGTACAGTTAGGGAGTGTTTCTTCCTGTGTGTGGAACTGAATCCAGAGAGTCACAGCAGAACTTGAAGTCAGCATTGGCCTAGGTACTAGGTCTGAGTAGGGAGGAGTTTTCTCCCAGGCTAACCTTGGGGTCTTATAGAAGGTGCTCCTGTTTCCCTAGTGAACAAGGCCCTTCTGACCATCTGCTAGCAATCAAGACTGTAGATGAGATCAGAAAAAGCCCTTAGCCTGTGCCAAGACCTACTCCCATAGCTTGAGACAATATGGTGAGTTATCTTGAACTCCACTCCACAAATATCCCAGTTACAGCACCTTTGGCAGAAGCCTGGTGCTACTTCAGGAGCATGAGTGGAAGTGCTTCTCAGTGGAAATCAGTCACACCCTGTAGCTCATGAGAAGATGGAGGGGAGGCCAGTGAGAAAGCAAGCAGAAAAGAGCTGCCTGCTTCGTGGGTGGCCAAAGGCTCATATCCAGGTTGATGAATTTGGAAAATGGAATCTGAGATGACCAGCAGTGACCAAGGGGGATTCCCCTGGAGTATAGTGGGTGGGGATGATCCTGACAGGACAGCTGAGGGCAGGACAGGCCTGAGACAAAGGCCTCAGATCCACATCTGAGGCCAGTGACCTCCCAGAGTTGACCCTCACCCTCATCTACACCCTTGGAGAAGGAAGGTAGTTACAGAAATAATGATCACCCCTAAGGGATGAGGCCAGGCCTGCTGGAACTCAACACCTATGACTCACCTCCCTAACCCTCACATCCTGAACCTGAATTCCAGTTTTTGTTCAGCCTCTGGAAGAACTTAGCCAACAAGCACTTAGTGTCAAGGTGCTGTTTCTTCTGTTTATGATTTTGTATTTCCTTATTTTTGGGGCTGTGAACTCTGCTGACAGCAGCAGCAGTAATTTCTGTCTGTTACTGTGTACTGTGTGCCAGGCTCTTTTTTTTTAATCACATAAGGGGCCTTGCTCAATACCATACAGAGAAGAGGGCAGAGCCATGTTCCAGCTCTGCTCCAATGCTTTATTAGAGCCAGCCCTGCACCTGGATTTCTCAAGGCATGCCTGATGTCTAGATTCTGTCATGTCCCCAAGCTACCCCAGGGCTTGTCGAGTGTATGTTTCTCAACCTGTGACTGAGAAAGTTGGTCACTGTTGATAAACAACCTAGCCGAGCACACATGAACCTGAGACTCACAGTCTGAGAAGTCTTTACCCCTGGCAGACTGAGTGAGTTTCCCCTGGGCACTGTTGCTAGGACTCAGACATCAGGAAGTCACCCTTGGCTGCACATGCTACTGAGAAAAGTCTGTGAAAAGGGGAATTGGAAAAGTTGGATGGGGCTTGCTAGCAGTGCTTCTAGAAATTTCCCTAGGACATCCTTTCCACAGACACTGAAGAGTGTATCTGGGATTCCTAAAGCATGGCCTGCCTCAGAATCAGGAGACTGGGTCCTAAGAGAGGGATCCCCTTCCACGGGCATATTGAGAAGGGTGTGTCGGGGTGAGAAGTGTTGGTGGCACTGCACTGGAAAGAGGCAGGCTACACTGGGGGATGCCACTCCTCAAGGGTAAAGGCAAGTCCTTTCCACTAGAAAAGGACAGAGGGATTTTGTCAAGTGGCATTGGGCAGAACTTCCCACCATAGTAAAGGTCACAAACAGGCTGAGCTGAGCACTGGGAGCATAAGTATCACCCTGTGTCCCCATCATTAGTGATCAAATTAGTTGTCAGTAAATATTGTTTCCAGGAAATAGCTTAGTTTAGGCATCAGTTAGTCATCAGCTCCTGGTTACTGCATTAGTACCCATGAGTCCTTAGCTGCACTAACACCTAGCACCTAGCATTCTGTTCATGCCTCCACTGTCAATCAGTCATCCTCAGATTCAAAGTGTTGGCCTCTGTGGGCTAGAGAGATGGCTCTGTGGTTAAAAGCTTGCTGCTCTTGGAGTTAACCTGTGTTCGATTCCTGGCACTCATGTCAAATGACTCACAGCTACCTGTAACTTCAGCTCCAGGGGATCCAGTGCTGTCTTGTGGCCTCTGAGGACACCTGTACTTAACTACACACACACACACAAATAAAGAAGGAAAGAAAGAAAGCACTGGCATCATCAGCCAATACTTACTCCAGTGTCTCGCACAGCAAACATCACTCCTGTCAGTCTCACTCTCTGGAGGAGGGAATGGGGTTAGGGCTCCATTTTATGAATTCCAGCATGCTAGAGAATGTGGAGTCCTAGCAGCTACTGTCTGTAACCTCTGGCTTTGAGGTTGCCAAAGATATTCCAGTGGTCCACAGAGAAGTAGGGAAGTGGAGAGCCAGAAGGAGATAGATTGAGAACTAGATCTCAAATTGCACATGGCCCTTTTGCCTACTTCCTCTTGGCAAGAATCCAGTCAAAGAGATCAGCCAGTTTCACGGGGCTGGGTTACTGCTCCAGCAACAGTGCCGCACAGGAGGGGGAGACCCCAGGCCTACCACATAACCATTCTTAATTTTCTAAGTCTTGTTCATCAATGTCTTTAGTTATCTTGTAAATACCTAAAGGATCTGCTGACACTGCTTAACCAACACCTTCTGAGTGACAGCCAGGTACCAAATGTCTAAATCTGTGAGAACTGCTGAGTGTGGTCTGAAATAGCTGTATAATCAGAGTCCTTTGGTGTCTGCCAAACTGGACTACCCGCCCTCCCCTCTGGCTTAGACCCCATTCTCCGTCCCACAGAGATGTGTGACATAGACGTTCTTTGTGCTGATCTTGGCACCAGGGGTTTGCTCTTTGGTCCCCAGTCCTCCCACTTTCTGTCTTTCATGAGACCCATATATTGGTTTGTGGAGATAATAATGTGGAGTGCTAGGACTTTTGAAAGGTATGGAGACACCCTTCAGGAAAACTGGGAAATCTTTCATATTTCTACTTCAGAAGGGGTGTGACTGTTTCTGCAAGGTAGAAGTGGTTCACTTCTTTGAATGCCTCTCTATGTGTTCTAGTCCTCATTGCACTCCAACACATACATGTGGCATTACACACTCATATATATACACAGCACCACCTACACATTGTATATTCCAAACTACATATGAACACACCATATACATCTAATCATACTTGTCTCCTATAAACACACAGCCCTCCACACCAGACACACACACACACACACACACACACACACACACACACACACACACACACACACACACACACACAGAGAGAGAGAGAGAGAGAGAGAGAGAGAGCGCATACCACATACATTCCCCCAATCCCCCTTCCCATATAGCACACCACACACAGATCACATATATGACACATAGCAACTTTTCTTTGGGGAAAGTATATGGTGATTGGGTTTTGTTTCTCAAAGAAATGCACCTCCCACCATGTTCTTGGTGTGGGAGGGCAGTTAAATCTTGAGAATTAATAGAGTCACAGCTGTGAGGTAAGTGCCCAGTCCAGGGCCTGAGGGATGATGGAACAGACTGCTCCCTGTATCCCTATGTGTTCAGATAGAACAGTACTCCTGCAGTGTTTGTATACAAGTGCTCCCATCATCTGAGAGTGGCTGGACCTGACCCTCACCTCTAAGAGTAGTTAGTTCTGTCTATAGGCTCAGACCCTGAGTGTCTGAAGGTGACCTGGATACTACTAAAACTCTCTCCCTTGGATAGAGAATTAAGATGCTAATGAGACCTGTAATGCATGAAGTTGTTTGTACAATGACATGCACAGATCATGCACAGATACAGCATCTGAGGAGAAGCCCATACTATACCTATGAGCCAAAAGGGACATGTTCTATTACATGAGAACCCAACTGTTCAGTGGGGTTGTTTGAGCTACTAACTCTATTGTGGAATATTATTTTAAGGTGTGTTACATTTGTTTATTCTGTGGAACATTTGTTTAATGATGCAAAGATGTGTTGCATTCTTTTATGTTGCATTTGTTTAATTCTGTGCCTGTCTAAAACACCTGATGGTGTAATAAAGAGCTAAATGACATTTTGTTTGACATTTGTTTAATGATGCAAAGATGTGTTGCATTCTTTTATGTTGCATTTGTTTAATTCTGTGCCTGTCTAAAACACCTGATGGTGTAATAAAGAGCTAAATGACCAATAGCAAGGCAGGAGAAAAGATAAGAAGGGCTGGCAGGCAGAGAGAATAAATAGGAGTAGAAATCTGAGAAGAGAAGAAGGAGCAAGAAAAGGAAGAGGACACCAGGGATCAGCCACCCAGATACAGCCAGCCACGGAGTAAGAAGAAAGGTATTGAGAATAGAGATAATTAAAAGCCCAGAGGCAAGAGGTAGATGGGATAATTTAAGTTAAGAAAAGCTTGCTAGAAATAAGCCAAGTTAAGGCCAGGTATTCATAAGAAAGAGTAAGCCTTCTTATGTTTATTTGGGAGCTGGGTGGCAGGCCCCCAAAAGAGTAAAGAGTAAAAAAAACAAACAACAAACTCTCTGCTCCAGCCTGTTCCTCCCTGAAGTGTCTGTTTCTGTTACAGCTATGTCGATATATAATCTTTTATCTGGCTACTCAAGAACCTGGAACCCCCTCCCTGCAGGCACACCATCGAACCACATATTTGCTGATACAACTCCACCTGCCTTTGCGCTTCCTTGTTTGTCTCTAGCATGCTCCAGGTTTAAATGTCACCTCCACAGAGTTCTTCCTCAACTGTATGCTCCTTGGCCATGCCTTGTTTCTCCTTCTTCTTGTCCCTGAGAAGTGTATCCTTTCTTCCTTGACACAGCCAGAGAGTGACACCTCATCCACTCAGCAGTTTGATGTGTATCTGCTTCTGTTATCTGGGTATGCCACGGGGCAGCAGCAATCTGCCTTGTTGTGGTGGTAGATGCAGTCCCGAGGAGATGCTGGATAAATGCTTGGAAGTGAAATGCTGTCCTGTTCCCAGTTCTGCCTTCTGGGGCTCTGAATATTCACACTGAGATTGATTAAAGCAGAGCTAAAACGCTGCCATCAACCAACTGGCTCCTGGGCTAGGAATTTATATTCTTTCTTCTAAGGCTGCCTTGAAAGAGTGCTACAAACTGGGTGATATACACAGCCATCCTCTCAACCTGCCTGAGGCCGCGAGTCCAAGCCAGGGTGAGCCACCAGCATGAAGTGTTGTCTGGCCAGCTGTTGTCCCCTTTAGCTTGAAGCTACATCCCTCCAGTTCGAGTATCACCTCATACACAAATGAGAAAGAATGACTTTCTGAGGTAAGTTAGACCTCAGCCCATGGCGGGAAAGTCACATTGCGCAACAACTTGACTTTTTGGTATCCATATAGCTGGCAGGACCATCCAAGAGCAGTTAGGTTCAATATGACCAACCAAGAAGACCACCAACTGCCATTTGCTTCCTCACAGTGGCATTCTACATCTACCTGGCAGAATTGCCTGCTCTCATCATGTACGTGGACCTGACACCATAACACATCCAGAAAACTGTATAAAACAGAAAAAGGAAGTAAAACCTCATTCCAGGTAACCCAGATCCACTCCTGGAATTCCTATCTTTTTTTTCTTGCTTGAACTCCTAAACAATTCTCTCCCAGATGAGCTATCTAAAATCCTGGGGGCAGTGACCTTTTCTTGAAAAGTGTGCACTTACTCCTGAGTGGGCACTTTTGTCCTATAATAAAACTCCCCCATGATTTGTCTCAATTCTTAATTCTTTCTCAGCTGTAACAAGGACCTCTCTTTGCATCCCTCCTCGCTTTCCTCTCTCTCTCTCTCTCTCTCTCTCTCTCTCTCTCTCTCTCTCTCTCTCTCTCTCTCTCTCTCTCTCAGACAGGTCTCACTTGCATCCCACCCTAATCTCCAATTCTGGTCCTTCTGCTTTACCTCCTAAATGCTGGGATTAAGTAAGGTCCACTGTGTTTCATTTACCTTTGATAATTATTTATTTTTTTATTTTTGAGACAGGGTCTCTCTCTGTAACCTTGGCTCTCCTGGAACTCACTGTATAGACCTTCCATAATTATTTGTGTATGAGTGTTTTGTCTGTGCCCATGGAAGTCTGAAGATCCCCTGAAACTGGACTTACAGGTGATTGTGAATCACCGTGGGGATCTTCTATAAGAGCAATCTGTGTTCTTAACCACCAAGCTATCTCTCCAGCTCTCTTTCGTAATTTTAGCTGGAACGTTCTATAAGAAAAGTCAGGTCAGAAGCCAGGTGTAGTGGTTCATAGCCTTTTGTCCCAGCACTCTGGAGGATCTCTATGAGTTATAGGTCAGCCAATGAGCTTAGACTGCTGTTTTAGAAATCCTAGGTCAAAGTTGCTGGGGGCAACAGGCAACTTGTAGCTCTCTACAGGGGCCAGCTGTAGAATCCCCAGATTGGGACCACCCAAAGGCACTGACTCAGCACAGCTCTACGGCTAGGTCTATAACAGTGTAGCAAGGATCCTAAAGAAATAAATTTCTCCAGGAACTCCTATGCTGGCAGTGAGAAAGCCTTTAGCCCTGGATCCAGTGGAGGAACTGAAGAGAACCCTGTCTCCAGGAGTTTAGGAGATCTGGTCTCATAGCTGATCTACAGGCTTTTATTCCTTTTCCATAAATTGTAATATTTCTAGGGGCAAAGCTGAGAGAAGCTGAAAATTCTTCCCTCCCATGTTTTGGCCTAAAATAAGTAAGTCCATTCCTCTTTAATTCCTGTCCCCCAGGTTTCTAGCTAGCAGTAGACCCCAGATTCTTATTACAGGTCCAGATACAATAGCCAGGCATCAAGGGTTTATCCCACAGTGGGACCAGGACCTGCAGTTGGGCCAATGGTTCTGTCTGTTCTGGCCCTAACCTACTTCAGGTATATCAGTTCTCTATTAGGTACGGGCCATGGGAAGGAGTCTGTCAGTCAACTGGAGCAAAGGTCAGTCAGCACAGCTGACCCAACAGCTCAGAGAGGACCGATGAGATCAAGGGGGGTTGGGTGGCCTCTGAAAAATTAAACCTTTTTCAACACAATCTAGAGGCGTGTGTGTGTGGGGGGTGGGCTTCCATAGCCACATAGCCACTCAGATTATTACATTTTGAGAGATGGGGTAGCATATAACCAGTCTAATTGGATTCAAGTTCCAGATTCACTACTTCCAGGCTATGGACTTGAGCAAGCATCTTTTCTGTTCAACACTGTTTCCTTATCAAAGAAGCAGGCCATGAGGCTTCTGGGCTGGGCTGGTTGGAGTACAGTAGGTGCCAGTGGCATGTTAGCAGTTAAGATCCATGATTCTTACACTGACCATGACTAGGGTGTTCTGAGGGAAAACAAAGACTTATATGTTCAGAAAGATTCTAAATCCTTTCTGATGCATCATGGGGTTGCTGAGAACATAGCACTCCTCTGCCACTGGTAGGATTATATTCCCAACAAAGCCTGTATGGAAAGTGTCAGAAGTTGAAAATGTATTTACTACCTCAATAAACCCACTATAAAGTAAAAAATCATAAAGCTATTGAATGCTGTCCCATAGATAGCTTGGCTTGGCTTGTACAGGGTATCTTAATTAGGGTTACTATCGCTGTGATGAACACCAGGACCAAAAGCAAGTTGAGGAGGAAAGGATTTATTTGGCTTACACTTCTACATCATAGTCTGTCATTGAAGGAAGTCAGAACAGGAACTCAAACAGGGCAGGAACCTAGAGGCCAGAGCTGATGCAGAGGCCCATGAATGGGTGCTGTCTACTGGCTCATCCAGCATGGCTGCTCAGCCTGCTTTATTATAGAACCTAGGACTACCAGCCTAAGAATAGCACTATCCACAATGGCTGGGGCCTTCCCTATCAATCACTAATTAAGAAAATGCCAACCCTGTCTTGAAAAACCAAATCAAACAAACAAAAGAAAGAAAATGTTCTACATCTGGGTCTTATGGAGACATTTTCTCAATTGAGGTTCCCTCTCTTCATATGACTCTAGCTTGTGTCAAGTTGACATAAGACTTGCCAGGACACAGGGAGACCTCATTGTAAATCATCCACCTGTATCTATGAGGACGCAACTGCTGAGGGATTCTTAAGTCAACCAAGAAGAGAAATGACGGCTGCACATAGGGCAATGTGAGATTTCTAAAATTATTGTTCAGTGCAAAAAGCCAGAATCAGGGAACTTATAAAACTTTATTTTTAAAGAATGAACATGGCTCCACATACTTTGGGAAGGTGTTTGTGCCTGGTTCTGCAGAGGGCACTGTTGACTTGGCTTGGAGTAGAAAGGACATCTTCTTTGCTACTATGTGCTCATTTGTACCTTTTGACTTTGAAGCCATACTGGTATATTACTGTTTTGTGTGTTCATATGTGCATGTGTGTATGGAGGCCAGAGTTCAACCTTATGAGCCATCTACCTAGCTTTTTGAGACAGAGTCTTTAATTGACCTGGAGCTCATCAAGTAGACTAGCCTGGCTGGACACAGCCTCAGGGATCTACTGCTTCATAGTTGGACCACAAGTATGCACCACCATGCCTGGCTTTTTAACATGGGTTTAGGAGTGAAAACTCAGGTCCTCATGCCAACTGAGTCAACTCCCCAGCCATGGTGAGTGTTATCTTAAAAAACAAAGAAAGCCCGAGACCAAGGCCAACTCAGAGCCAGCTAACTGTGTCTTGTTCAATACCTGCTGTTGCTTTTTGAGAGGGTTGATGGATGTTAGGCATTCTCACCCCTGTGAACATGTGGCCAGGCACATGGCTTTAACCAGGCTGTCTGAGTGCTGCAGTACTGGAGGCAGGCAGGACTAGGTAGGAGTAGAGTTTTGCTGGCCTGGCATAGGCCACACACACAGAGATAGAACAAGGTCACAATCCTAAATTCTGAGTCTGACCTGGCAGCATTCCAGGGCAGAGAATGATGAAACAAAGGCTCATTACAGGCAGCAGGAAAGGGCCTTCAAGGCAGCTGCTTCTCTCCATTCATGGGGCTGTTCCTCAGGGAGGCTTGGGGCCAGAGAGGCCTGAGGTTCAGGAAGCAGATTTGGAGCAGCCAG